TCGGAGGCCTGGATTTGACGTATTATTATCTTAAGTGCTACGTCGAGCTCCATCGGTGAAAGCTGCATGGTCTCTGGTCTTGATTCTTTTGGTTTCCGTGCGTTTTTTGTGAAACGAAGTACATATCCAACAACTTTTTGGACATGTGTAAATAAATTTCTTGAATGAATCGAATAGACCCATGCATGCTCATTAGTAGGTTGTTGTGTTGATAAAGCAAGCACCACCGTGTTATCTTCAACAATTAATTCCCTTTTGAAGGGAGCTGGCCACAGCGGCTTTGGCTGATATAAAAATAGTGGACCATATAACCACATGCAGCAAGATGAAAATTCCCGCGGTTTAAGCCCTCTTGACAGGATATCTGCCGGATTTTGTTTTGACGGGACGTGACGCCATTGTTCTGGAATTGTTAACCGAAGGATTTTTACAATTCGGTAGGCAACGTAAACGGGTAATTTGCCTGGATGATTGTTTATCCAGGAAAGCACAATTTGTGAATCTGTCCAAAAGTAAGTTGCTTTGTCTTGATAGCTTAAATCAAGTTTAACTCTTGCCATGAGTTCTGCTGCTAGCAACGCTGCACACAATTCTAGTCGTGGAATTGTTTGAGATTTTATGGGTGCTACACGAGATCTGGAGCATAGTAGATTAAGTTTTATCGTTTTATCCTTTTGTACTGTTCTAATGTATACTGCTGCACCATAAGCCTTTTCTGAGGCGTCACAAAAACCGTGCAGCTCAACATGGCTGTAGCCTTGACTGCTGAATACGTGCCTCACAACTGTTGCATTGTCCAACAAGGCCAGATCTTCTCTATACGATGTCCATTGTTTACGTATTTCTGACGGAAGATCATCATCCCAATCGAGTTTTAGCTGCCATGCTCCTTGCAACAAGATTTTACCGGTGACCAAGATTGGACCAATAAGACCCAAGGGGTCATATATGTGTGCCAAATCGGAGCTCATAGATCGTTTTGTTGTGTGACTATGGTCTCGAATGTTAACCTTGATACGAAATGAATCTGACTTTGGTAACCATAAAAGACCCAGCGTCTTTGTGAATTGGGTTTCCTTGGAATCAAAATTGAGATTTACTTCTTGATCTTCTGGAGCGATTCCATGTAAAAGTTTTGGGTTGTTTGCACACCATTGTTTTAGTTTGATTCCAGCCTTGTCTAGAATTGTTATTAATTGTTGTTGAATTAGTAACGCTTCGTTGATGGTATCAGCTCCTATTAGACCGTCGTCAACATAAAAATCCCTTTTTAAAGATGTGGCGCCATACAAATAATTTCCTTGATATTCATCCGCCAATTTTGTTAGACAAAATTGCTGCTCTTGTGCCATAAGTAACTGTGTTCAACTGATAATAATTAAGTGGTTCTGTGGGATTTTCTCGCCACATTATGAGTTGCAGATTTCGATCATCTTTGTTAACCCATATTTGACGGTACATTTTTTCCACATCAGTTTTTAAAACATATTTGTGCATTCTAAATCTGAGCAAAATCGAAAACAGTTCGTCTTGAACTTTTGGACCATTAAACATTATGTCATTTAGTGATGGCCCTGATAATTTGTGTACTGATGCGTCAAATACAACTCGCAGTTTTGATGTTGAGCTGTCTGGACGTAGCACACAGTGGTGAGGGATGAAATATTGGGGAGATACTATTTCGCTACCGCTGAATTTTGTCATGTGTCCCAATGCGTCATATTCCCTCATAAATGAAACATATTGATTCTTTAGATCAGGATTTTGAATGAAACGGCGCTCGATTGTCTTGAACCTCTCGTAAGCGATTCCTTTTGTATCTGGTAACACTGATGGATGATTCTTTGGTGGGAGTTTCACAACAAATCTGCCATCACTTCCTCGAAAAGTGTGTTGCAAAAAATGTGACTCACAACGCAATTCGTCTTCTGTGAGTTCCGAAGTTGAATCTGGAATTTCTTCTGATTCCCAGAATTTCAATATAGATTCTTCTAGTTCCTTAGTAGTGCACATGCCACAAGTTGCCGTGCTTGAATTTAAAGTTTCAACATTGCCAGCTACAACCCATCCAAAAATAGAATTCTGAAGTGTTGGAAGACTACCTGCTAGTTTTATTTGACCTTCACTAAGTAACTTGAAAAAGATCTCTGCTCCTAACAGGCAATCTATTCGGCCAGGTTTGTTAAAATCTGGATCAGCGAGAGTTAATTCCTTTGGAATATCCCAGGATTCGATATTTAAATAGTGCATTGGCTGATCTGAAACGATTTTTGGTATGATATGTGCATCCATCTCTGCTACAAATTCGTTCAACGTTGATTGTACTCGGATTATTGTTTGATGACGTATTTTTGATTCATTTGCGCCTACGCCTTCCATACTCATAAGCGTTGGCCTAGGCTTGCAGCCCAATTTTTTTGACAGGCGGTTTGTTATGAGATTGATTTGAGAGCCAGAGTCCAATACTGCTCTGCATTCAATTTGTCTTCCGTTTGATGCCAGCAATCTTATTCTGGCCGTCCCTAATAGGACATAATTAGATTCCTTATTGGTATTGTTTGTTAAAAGGGTTATTTTATTTGATGATTGGTTTGAAACTGAAGCTTGACCTGTTTGTTGAGGCGTTGAGTTATTTCCTTGAAGAACAGTACCTTTTGTGTATTGATTCCCCTTTGGATTATGCATCAAAGTGTTATGTTTTTTAGAACACTTAGTGCAGTGCCTGGAATTACACTCATCAGCTCGATGACTAATCCTGAGGCAGTTCACACACAAATTGAACTCCTTAACCCAATTCCATCGTTGTGATAGATTAGCCGTCTCGAATTTTTTGCAAGCGTAGACCATGTGACCGTCTTTGTTGCAAATTGGACAGGTTTTACTTAAACCAAATTTTGTAGCTGAAGCACATGTTCGAGTGAATGATGAATCTCCTTTTCCCCTAGCCTCAAGTGATTGAAATCTATGTTCCAAAAATTTTAGCAATTCATCAATGGTTATTAAACTTTTGTTGTCTGTTAGCCCTTGTTCGAAAGCTGTTAGAGTTTCTGCATCCAGCTTGCGCAGCAATAGATGTACCAGGATAACATCCCAATGTTCGACTGGAACTCCTTGAGCCTGGGGACCATGTATGCATTTCTTGCTTACATCGTGTAGAGATTTTAATGCTGGTGCCGACTCCCTTTTAATGGAGGATTGTCCCATTAATTTATTTAGGAGTGTTGTAACCAGAAGTCGTTTATTTTCATAACGACTTGTAAGTAAAGTCCAGGCTATATTGTAATTTTCTCCTACTACTGGAAGATGTCTAATTAGCCCCTTTGGCTCGTTATCCAATGATGTAGTCAGATAATGCATTTTTTTTTTGCTGTCACTGATGTCCGTGTTGTGGACCAATTCCATATACAAGTCCTTGAATTCCACCCACCGCATACAGTTTCCATCAAATTTTGGTAGTGATATTCTTGGTAGAGGCAATTCGCAATCTGTCTGTCTTGAGTTGCGAATTGTCTGATTATTATGCAAATGTTGTTGTAGTTCGATCATGGCAGCTCCTGCCTTTTCCTCGAGTTCATAAAACATTTCCAGTGTGTAGTCCTCAATGATGCTTTCGTCGGTAGTATCCCATAACGTTGTATTATTTGCCGTTAAATCGACCATATATCCTTCAAGACTGGCTGCCTTTATAGAATAGTATGTAGATGGTTGTTCAACTTGCCTGTTGACCATGATTCCTTCTATCGTTCTTTCAATTACACGTATGAGTGCCTTCTGATTTCGGAGTAGTTTCCGAATGTTTCAATCATTTATCTGTTTGTTTTGCTCAATTGTTGTGCCATTGCTTGCTGAAGATGATTTTTCTAGGTCTATTGCTTCAATTTCTAGAACCTTGTTGTAATCGACAATCATTTTAAGAATACTCTGATACTCTTTGTTCACCAAGTATTCATGGTCGTCAACCTTGTCCACTGAAGCCATGATTTCCTGATGATTTTCATGATATTCGTCACCCAACCTTTGCAATTCTTGAATCTTGTCTGTATAGAATTGAGAAGTTTTGCGAGGTTTTCCAGCTTTTTTGCAATTACCAATAAATTGTTTGATTTTGTCGCCCAATGCCTTTTGGCGATCCACTAGCGAACTGAAACCCATTATCCAGTTAGTTGATTTGTTGATTAACAGCCAATTTCACACCTTGTGAAACTAAAGTTGTTTTATTTGTCCTCTGTTGATGCTGACACCAAAGCCTGTATTGATGTGATCGTAGGACACCTTTATGTCAAATTCGTGTTCTTTATCCTCTTTTGATGCTGACACCAAAGCCTCTGTTGATGTGATCGTAGGACACCTTTAGGTCAAATTCGTGTTGAATTATCAAGCGATTCACCTGATAATCACGTCGGGGTCACCAAATTAAATGTTAATGAATTAACACCTAAGGAAATGAATTGACAGCATTTAAACTGTAACTCTTTAATTGAAAGTTGAGTTTTCAGCACTTGAACTGAAACTCTGGAAATGAAAGTGAGAGATCGAATATTGGTTTCAATCTGAATTTTATTAAATTAAATTTTTCCTTAAATACTAAATTATTACAAATTATTACAATAACAATATCTAAATTTTATTCTTTTCCTTTACCGTCTTCTTGCCTAAAGTGCAAGCTCAGCATATATTATGCAACCAAATTCTTTGTTGTGTCTAGCAACCAAGAATTAATGCCAATGCACTGGCCTTGATATATGTTACATATTCAAAGTTCAGTGCCACTGCACTTAACAAAAAATATAATGCAAATATTCAAGTTCAGTGCCACTGCATTTTACCAAATTAAATAATGCAAAGGAAAGTCAAAGTTTGGATATTGCTAACATCAGCATATATGTTCAAATTTTACAAATATTGTACAATAATAACAATAGTAATAATAATAATATTTTACAATAATAATAATAATAATATTTTACAATAATAATAATGTGTGAACATATACCACATTCTAAAAAATTAGAATGGATATAAAATAATTTCTATAAATATTAAATAAAATTAAAAAGATATTATGTACCCACATTCATTTGTTATAGCACGGTTCCTCTTCTTACTTAATAAGCTTAACTTACTGAGTAAATTTCATTAACCATACAAAGAGCTGCAACATTAAAAATGATCGAAATTTGGCATATTTGACACACGAAACAAAACGTAAACATAAACAATCAAAAAATCAAAACAAACAAGGGACAAGAATTTTTAAATATTTTTTTTTATATCTGTAATATAGATATTATGTTATAGATTATGTTATAGTACGAGATTTGGATCAACTTCCAACCGTGCATAGCATTGACAGACGAGCGCGCTTAATTATCATTAAGGAGCCTTAAATTAACATTTTAAAAATACGCTGACAGACGGTATAAATTATCATTAAGTTGGTGTATAATGTGTTTTTTGTTATTGAAAAACCGGGAGAATTTTTTATTGAAGGGAAAAAAACATTAAGCTATAAAAAAACTTTTTAGTATGGAAACTAAATTCATAGCAAGAAGAACTTTTTTTGCAAATCTGTATTGTTTACACTGTGACAACCAAATAACCGCTGAAATTTGTTTTAATTTTTATTTCGTTTCACTTACATATGCAGCACCACTATTTCTGAAAAACTAAATGAGAAATAAATTGGGTGAAATTCGGTCATTTAAAGACCATAAATTTTATGTAATTACATGTAAAGACCATGTAATTTTACCAAAGCACACCATAAAAAAATTTGCGTAATTGTTAAAAAACGTTAAAAAGTATCAAAACAATAATGCCACGTCAATGAGAAGAAATCCACTTAGTTTTTTTGGAAACAGCCGCTGCAATCAAATTTTATCAAACAAATGTTTATAATGTTAAATAAAAGAAATAAAATTTTTCAAAAATATTTACAAAATTTATTGCAAATGCTCATTAAATTATGAAAAATAAATACAAAAAGTATTATTTTTTCGGTTAAAAATTTACTAACAAGAATTTTAATACATATAAAACAAAACGTTTTAATAAAATAATTTTTTATTCCCATTTTTTATATTCTCAGTTTTCACTTTGTTTTGTGCGCGCGCAAAATAATATCACTGCGTATTTTTGATATTTTTGAGGTGAGAAACGTGCAAAGTAATTTAAAATTTTTATCTCAAATAATCGAGACAGTGACTCCTTACAAAATTTATAAAAATATTAGTGCCCGACTTAACGTCAAAAATTAAATTATTAATATATTTATATTGTTGTTGTGCAAAAAAGTGAATTTATTTGCAAAATTGTTTTGTTTTTAAATTTGTTTATTTCACACACTTCTAAAAACAGCTGATAGAGACAGCAAATTAAGCTCTAAAATTAAGCTCTGAAGCTTAAAATAAAAAACAATAAAAGTGTTGGAAATAAAAAAAAAAAATTTTGTACAAATTAATTTACAAACTCACGTTATCGTAATTCGTGTGATCGTGTAAATTGTGTAGTTAACTTGTTAACTTATGCTAAATAAATAAAACTAATAAATACGCGAAAGGACGCTTTAAATAGTAATAAATATTTAAAATATTTTAAATCTTATTGATTTATATTAGATATAGAACTGTTAATATATCACAAAACATTGTATGAGCAATTGTGAAAGAATAAGACGGGTTAGTGAAAATGGCCTAAATGGCTATATAAAGATAAATACAGAAGACGCTATAACAAATGATCTTTCTGCAATCAAATCTCTAAATAAACCAGCAACTGAAACAAATGTATCAATAATAGCTAATGAAATAGCAATTGCAAATAAAATTAAATTAAACAATAATACAAAAGACAATTTAAAGAACACTTTACCAATCGAAGAACAAGTTCCAATAATGTATGGAACAAAAAGTATCTCGAAAGAACCATTAACCAACACGACTTCAGGTGTTCCAAACAGGGAAACACCAAAAGTAGCTCAAGCAAAGTATTTACAGCAACAAATATACCAGCTTCAACAGCAGCTTGAAAACCTATACAATGAAGAAAATGTAACACTCCGCGTTAACGGATCCAATGCAAATACTCAAAAGGCAACTGCAGGCTCAAACGCTACTCCAATAAATATCAGAAATAACACTAGGCAAAGAAAAGATGAAATTAAAATAAAACAACAGGCAATGCAGACAGGTATGGATCGCTATGTGAACATAATGAGCAAAAGAAA